AATTGGCATACCTATAGCGCTTATCAAATTGGTTTCCCTTATCTACTTGATTGGAAATATGAAATGATTATTTACATTCTATAATGCCTGTTTACATGCTTCATAACATAAAAAATGATAGTTGCTATGCACACAGATTTTGACGCTTTAATTAACCAACTTATTAATTAAAACGAGACGTTAGTAGTAATACTCTATTTACTTTCCATTTGTAAATTTTGTCGGTTTAGCCTTTCCTGCTGCACTGGAATTTTACATTTACATTTACACAATAATTTCAACATATGTATTAAAATACATATTCTCCTTGTGATATGGACACTAAATCAATAAATACTGTTACATCTGTATAATACATCGGTATGAGTTTCACCATAAAAAAAGATTCACAAGATATTATTATCACTATTAGAGAAACGAGATACTGACAAATTTAAAAATGTATTTTGCAGGCAATATTCTGTTACAAAAATTGTTTTTACTAAATGTAATTAATATCAAAGATTACAAATTAGAAATACTTTTTAGGTATGTTGCATGTTGCATTAAAAGACTTATTTTAATCTTCTGACCATTCATTGACTTCTTTTTAGGTTATGCTGTTGTTTTGTTTATTAGGTGTGTTCCTTTTACCACCAATCTCAACTGATCTAGGTAGTTTTATGGTTACGGAGCCTACATCAAAGAAATTATGCTTTTATTTATGCAGGGTAACCGTAAAACAACAAGATTAACTGAGATTGGTGGTAAAAACAACACACTTATTGTTTACACAACAAACTGAATGCTTTAGCAGCGTATTGGAAGGTCGATATTATAAAGTGGATATTTAAATTATGACAAAAATTTTTAGATACAGTTTAAGAAAACATAATGCACATTTGGAAATAAAGCTTTTTTATCATGATGTCGTGTTCAGAACACGAGAGCACTCGCCAAATACGCCATAGAACAAAACTACCGATTTAACATTAATAAAATACAAATTCTAGAAAAAGAACCGAATTATAACTGAAGAAATATACCTACATGAAATGTTACAAATAAAAAGACAAAAGAGCGATTTTCTAGAGGATATTCTCCTTTTTGACTAATAAAATTAATAAAAAACTTTGTTCCTAAATGTGGCATTATGCTTTCTTAAATATTATCTGAAAAATTTTCTCATAACTTAAATATTCACTTTATAATATCGAATCTTCTAATACGCTGCTAATAATACTTATTTCATGGCGAAGTGTACCCTTAGCGTCAGAGGCAGATGCTCTATAGTGTGGACATAGAACAACCTCAAATTCTTGAGGTCAAAATAAGTCGATTTAACTAATCTTACTTATACACCAAAATGCTTCATTTGGCCGTAATCGAGCCCTAAAGTTGATAAAAAAAATAGTTTTGCTAAAATTACTCGAAAACGCTTTAATGAATAAAATGATAAAATTTGATATGGTGATAGAACTTTATAATGGGCATTTTCTAAGGCCTGTTTTAATTTGATCAGAAATACAGAAAAGCAAATAAGATACAAGCCCCTTACACTCGCCAGATTTTTAAAATTAATTCATGTATTCTAATACAGTATTATTAAACATGAGCAATTGTCAAATCTGTTTTAATAAATTCTGTTGCAAAAGTCGTTACTTTGTGATAGTACATCATGATGATATAAGGAAAACACTTTACATTGTTTACATCATTTTCGCTTTACATAAGTAGTGTATTTAGCCCACAAAGACGTTTTTCATCAGAAAACGTAGAAACTGTGTTACTGATGCAAATGTTCGCTGGTACACAATCTCGGTCATTATTCTCAGTATGTAACATGTTAAGGTAAGCAGTTTTATATCTGTAGGTAAGATGTAGTTATTTTATTTATCATTTGCGATAACCTAAATGCGTTATTATTAGGCAGGGGAAATATTTGTCATATTTTAAGGGCGGCTGTTATATAAAAAGTCTATTACAGGTACATACAGGGTGTCCCAATCAAAAGTAGGCACCCTGAATAACTTTGGAGACAAACATTTTTTGTAAAATTGGTGAAACACGTTGACCTTGTTTCCAATAGGGACATATTTTAATGCAATATTTGTATACCTATCATCAGCCCTCTACCCTACACGGCCACCCCTTAAAAAATTAAAATGGCAATGGGGGTCTAGTGATACATCTTTTGAAAGGTCTTTCAATTCCCTACATAACTGTGTATTTTTTTAAACTTTTATCGATTCGTTCTTAAGGAAAATAATTTTATTTTTGATGATTACACACAATCGAAATCGTTTAAAAAAATCTAAAATACACGGCACTGGGTATTGGAATTTATAAAAAATTACATTTTCTAGTGCTCTCAAATCAACACGAGTTTTTTCGACAAAAAACACTTTCCTTGTCCGTTTAGTTTTAGAATAATAAAAGACTCATAAGTATTTGATAGTCCTTGAACATTAATTTGTCCACAACCAATTTTAAATCGAGATACATTTTACCAGAGTGAGTTCTCAAAATGGTTTATACCCTTCAGGAGAGAATAGAAATTGTCAGCATTTATTTTAAAAACGATAATTTTGCTAGAGCTACGGAGCGCATATTCAATAGAAATCACCCAGTAGAAGGTTGGTTCTCAGGATGTTTTACAATTATTGACAAAATTTATGGAAACAGGTTCTGTAGGAAACAAAAAAGCATGAACGTCAGCGACCGATTAGGAATGAAGCAGTCAAAGTGGCAGTTCTGGGTCATTTACAGATGGATAATACTCAATCGATTAGGAAAGTAGCTGAGGCTTCCGGTGTATCACGAAGCAGTGTTCATCGAATTGTAAACGCCCACAAATTTCATCCATATAAATTTAAATTGGTACACGAATTAAACGAAGATGATCCCGATCGTCGGCTTGAATTCTATGAGATTTTTTGTGAACAATTAAATGGTAATGCCAATCTACTGTACAATAAGTGTTTTTCTGATGAATCGACATTTCAGTTAAGTGGGAGGTAAACAGGCACAATTGTAGGTATTGGAGTGAAACCAATCCACATTTGTTCATGAAAACTCGTGCTCAAAGGCCTCAGAAGTTAAATGTTCGGGCTGGCATCTTCGGGGATCACATTGTCGGGCCGTTTTTTATTCCTGACAATTTAAATGGCGAAAGGTACCTCGATCTGTTAGAAAATAACATCGACCCAATAATTACCCAAATCCTCGAAGAAGACGATAATCTTTTAGAGGGCGAACTGTTTTTGCAACAGGATGGGGCACCCCACATCTTGCTATAGCAGTCCGGGAATTTTTGGATAATTGGTTTCCTGAGCGACGGATTGGAAGAAGAGGTCCTGTGGAGTGTACCGCTAGATCACCTGATTTAACTCCCTTGGATTTCTTTCTGTGGGGACATTTGAAATCGAAGGTATTTACAACAATACCTGCATCTCTGGAAGAGTTACGTGACAGAATTATTCGAGATTGTTTATTGACTCAAGATGTGTTCAGAAATGTTCGTACAGAATTTCAAGACAGATTATACTACTGTATGGAAGTCGGTGGGGATCATTTTGAACAATACGTACGATAATTTAAACTGCTTCTTTTATTTTTATTTCTCGAACCTAAAATAATGAAACAATTATTTCTCAGGAACGAATCGATAAAAAAATACAGAGTTATGTAGAGAATTGAAAGACCTTTCAAAAAATGTATCACTCGACCCCCTTTGCCATTTGATTTTTTTGAGGGGGTGGCCGTGTAGGGTAGATTCATGATGATAGGTATACAAGTATTACATTAAAATATGTCCCCCTTGGAAACAAGGTCAACGTATTTCACCAATTTTTCAAAAAAATTTTTATCTCCAAAGTTATGCAGGGTGCCTACTTTTGGTTGGGACACCCTGTATGTAAATAGACACTACATAAAAATTTATATAGTGTGTTTATTTATATACCTGTAAAGACATGCAATCAGTAAAATCAGTATTGAGGTAGAATACCAGGATAAATGTATATAATATTATAGGTAACTGGGCTCTTATTCCTCAGCTAGCCAGACGACCGCGTACGAAACGGTGTTTGGCATATGGTCTGCTAACATTCTCGCATCAAATGCTCTTATCAATATTACTGGTACAGTTACAAAAGAGGAATTTTTTATGATTTGTGTAATGTTTTGTGCACAGGCCCGTCGGGAGGGCAGGAGAATGGTACAAATTACCGGGGCCCACGCGCAGTCGCGGGGCCCGAGTGCAGTCAAGGGGCCCTGGCCCGCCTTACCGTAAGAAAGATGTCATCACATTGCCATTTTAGGTATGCTAGAAAAAAAAGAGAGTGCTAAATTTTGTGTATATTAAATATCAAAGGAAAGGTAAAATCACTAAAATTAGTAAATATATTTAAAAAGTATATTATTATTATTTTAGTCAGAATTTAGTTGTGTTTATAGTCCTGGAGTGGGTTGGAACCTTTGATGTGAAAATAACACTGACGTAGTTTTCCACGAAACATCAAAACACTATATACTGCACTCGACGCGCGTTTCGCCAACCAAGTTGGCAGAATCTGGAGATTATTAAAATTGTGTTTACAGTGTTCTGTTTCATTCTATTTGTTCGCCTTCTTTGTGACTTTGTATTTTTCACTTAAGATTAGTTTCTATTTGTTAGGTTTTAGTTCTTTTTAATACATATTTTGATTTACATGGTGATATTTATATATATATATATATATATATATATATATATATATATATATATATATATATATATATATATATATATATATATATATATATATATATATATATATATATATATATATATATATATATATATATATATATATATATATATATATATATTAAATTAAACACCACAGATAATTCAACCCTCTGTATCGCTAAAGGTACCTCAAGGCACCTTGTGTGGGAGACGGCTACACATTTAGAGACAATGGACACACACCCCATGTCCGAGTGTGCTAGGATTAATTTCTAGTTTGGAAAAATCCTAGCTCCTCTACCGGGTATCGAACCCGGGACTCCAGGGTGCGACACAAGTGTCCTTACCACTCGACCATGAAGCCACGTGTATAGGGAGATTTCTTATTTCATAAAACATATTACTTTTTTATTAAGTTACACCATTTTTAAATTTTATTTTAGATTTCTTTTTCACTGTGCAAATTTGAAAAAACTGTAACTATAATCTCTGTGAAGAATTTAGGCCAACAAATACTATGTCAGTATATGACATGCTCTTGAAAATTGTAGTAAAAATCCAACTTTTTTAGAATAATGTGATAAAAATAATGTCTCAAATCAGTCAGGATTTCGTAAATAACAGTCTTGTGAATCGGTAATACTAAATATAAGTGATAAATGGGTTAAGGCTATTGCTTACAATAATATTATATTGGCAGTTATCTTGGATTTTCGGAGAGCTTTTGAAACTGTTAATAGAGAATTATTGGTAAGAAAACTTGAGAAATTGGTATTCGTAATGCAGCACTAGAGCGGTTTAAATCTTATTTATCTAGTTGTTATCAAAAAGTAAAATAAACAAATTTTGTATCTAGTCAACTAAAAAATTTAAATGGTGTACCACGGGGTACGGTCTTGGGACCTATTCTGTTTCTATTATATGTAAATGATATTGTAAGATATGTAAAAATGTATAGTATAAGTATGTTTGCTGATGATACTATGATATATATAATAAGTACACATCCTGAGGAAATGATAAGTATAATGAATGATGAATTGAAAAACATATACAATTGGTTATGCAATAATCATTTATATGTAAATATTAAGAAATCTAACTATATGTTCATAGCAAATAATTGTAATTAAACAATATTCATAATTCATTAAACATATCGATAAATAATAACACTCTGGGAAAAGTTACCGAAATAAAATATTTAGGAGTCATAATAGATCCAAATTTGATCTTTAAAAGCTATGCAAATTTCATTATGAATAAAATGTCAAAGAAATGTCACTTTTTATATAGAATAGGATCATCTCTTAGTATGTATAAGAAATTAATTTTATACAATGCATTGATTTCACCTCATTTAGAATTTTGTTCAACAGTTTTATTGAATATAGGTCAAAATCAAATACAACAAATACAAAACCGAGCAATGAGAATTATACCAGGATGTAATAAATATATACCTACCTATAAAATTAATGTTAGAAGTTTTAAACTTTTATTTTTATCTATAAAATGAAAAACAAAATGTTACCAGCCTATAAATACGATAGATTAAAGTATAATCATGATATTCACAATTATCCAACTAGAAATATTAGAAATAAATATGGTGCCGTCGTATGATGACGATGAAAGTGAGCGTCAAATAAAAGTCAGAAATATATAAAAAAAAGTGTGAGTTATGTAGTAGTCAAGTGCGTTTCAGTGATTAAATGTAAATTATGTAACTTTGGATTGCATACAAAATGTTTTGATATCTTGTCAAAAATAATGAATTTGGAGAAAAAATAATTAGGTATGTAAAACTTGTTCACAAGGCCAGGATGAAGTAAATAAAATCGTCCATGACCAAGAAAGTGAAACTCTAAATAGTGTAAAACATGAGTTAGAAATTTTACAAGACATACATAAAGAATTAAATATAAACAACAATCTACTAACCCTTAGGCTTAGTGAAATTGAGAAAAATTTTGTACATATTCAGAATAATTCGTTCCCAAAGAAATCTGTGAATGCAAACACAAGTAATTCTACAAGTATTCAAAAGATGGTTCTACGTCCTTCTTTTAGTCAAGTTGTTAAAAAAGACTCAGCAGTTCTTATAGTGGAAACAAAAACAAATACAAATATTGATATAAATACTTTTAAGAACAATGTAAATCCTGTTGACCTAGGTCCTGGTATAACTCAAATAGAAACACAAGAAATAGTAAAATAATAGTAGAATGCTTAAATAACGAACATTTGAACAACATAAAGTCAACTGGTCACGATATGAAAGTATATGTTCCAAAAAAATATCTACCTAAAATTAAAATTTATAATACAGGAAAGTCAAATAAAACAGATGAACATATATCTGCAAACATTTGCAAGCAAAATAATATAAATGATCAAGAACATTTTAAAATTGTCCGTAAAATCCCATATCGAAATAATTTAAATTTAATTATAGAAGTTAAGCCTAGTTTATATACAAAAATATCACAGATGGTTTTCTGTTTGTTGGCTGGCATAAGTGTATGATCACAAAGACGTTTAATATTATACGATGTTTTAAATGTTCTGGTTATGGTCATTTCTACAAAGATTGTAAAAGACTTGCGGATATTTGTCCAATTTGTTCTCAAAATCATACAATAAAAGACTGTCCTAGAACAACCGCTAAATGTATTAATAATTGTAAGAACCACAATGAAAAATTTAAAACATGTCTTGATGAAAACCATTTCTCTAAAGAGGCAACGTGTCCAGTATATATAAAACAAATATATGCAATAAAAGCTAGAATAGAGTATTCAGAGCAATAACCTTAATAAAAGAACAAGTCAGTACTAGAAAAAGTTTAATAATAATTCATCAAAATGTGCAAGTATAAGAAATAAAATAGAAGATCTAGAAGTATTTCTAACGAAGAGGCAGATATAGTTTGCATAACTGAAAATTGGTGCGGAGATACAGATATTGAGGATGTAAATGTATTTGGTTTTAAGGTAGCAAATTATTATAATAGACAATCTTTTTGCCATGGAGGTGTTATGATATTGGTGAAAATAATATAAACTTTACTAAAATAAACGAGTGTTCTGAATATAATATTGACAAAACTTTTGAATGTGTAGGTGTAATTGTAAAAAAGGGCAATGAAAATATTTATATATTATCTATTTACAGAAGTCCAAATAGTAATATTGATTTATTCTTGATAAACCTAGAACAATTTTTGCAATTAATTTCTACCACAAATCAGCCAAGTAAGATAATTCTGTGTGGCGACATAAACATTGATTTTCTTTGCAATACTCAAGATAAAATAAATTTAACTGATTTAACAAGCTCTTTCTATCTAAGTAATGTTTTTCACGAAGCTACTCGAATAACTAACAATTCAACAACTGCAACTGCATTTTTACAAATTTTAACAATATTTTAACTCAAAAACATATAATTTATAATGGTTTGTCAGATCACTCTGCACGAAAAATTACATTTCCAATCACAGATAACAACATAAAAAAAACTTATAAAAGTAGATCCTATTCTCAAAAAAATTTAATTACATTTATCAATTACCTTGAAAATGAGCTGAGCAATGTAGTGACCTTTTTCTTACAAATAGGGATATACATAAAAAAATTTCTTGTTTTACTACGATCAGAGTTTTAAACTTGTTACCAGAAATCAATGTCACCCAAATAATAAAAGCTGGATAACACCAGGAATTAGAGTATCATCAATCAGATTAAAAGAAATGTTTGTTTTGCAAAAGCAAGGTTTTATTAACACAGAATATTATAAAAAAATATATAACAATATACAGATGTACAATAAGATTGGCAAAAAAATTATATTACGATAATTTAATTTTAAATTCTGAAAATAGATCTAAAACAGTATGGAAGGTTATTAACAGTACTATAAAAAACAAAAAAACTTCTGAAAATAATAGTCTATTGATAAATAATACTGAGATTAATGATAAAAAGGAAATTACTAATGAATATAACAACTATTTTGTAAATTTACCAAATAATTTATTAAATAAACAAGGTGGACAAACTTATAAAATCTAAGTTAATCAAAACAATTTCACAGACAAAACAATTTTTCTTAGTGAGGTGTTTGAGTCTGAAATTATTAGCATAATAAAAGAATTAAAAAATACAAATTCATCGGGGGCAGATAATATCTTAACATCAGTCATAAAGAATATTGCGAGGTATTTTGCGAATCCACTATGTTATATTACAAATTTATGTATAAATGGTGGATGTTTGCCAAATGTTTTGAAAATATTTACAGTTATGGCACTCCACAAAAAAAGGCTCCACAATTAATTAACAATTATCGACCAATTTCTCTCTTATCCATATTTTCAAAAATAATAGAAAGTTCCGAGTAAACGAATAATAAGCTTTTTAGAATCCAACAATATCCTATCACCTAATCAACATGGCTTTAAAGAAAAAAATCCGCAATATTTGCTTTATTAAGTATTTTACACAATATTTATAAAGAATTAGATAAAAATAATAAAGTTTTGGCTCTTTTTATTGACTTGTCTAAAGCATTCTATTGTGTGGACCATGAAATTTTCTTAAATAAAATTAAAAAATATGGGATAAGAGGAAATTGTAATAACTTACTTAAAGATTATTTGAGCAACAGACAACAATTTGTTCAATACTTTGGGGAAAATTCAGACATGCTAAAAAGTAGGTGTCCCACAAGGAAATGTCCTGGGACCACTGCTGTTTCTGTTATACTGTAATGATCTTGATAATTACACATCGGCATTTTATACTGCATTTGCAGATGACATAACTTTATTATCTGTCCATAAAAATCAAACAGAAATGACTGGTTTAGTTAATAAAAATCTTAAGGATATTCACAAGTACTTTCAGTTAAATAATCTCATAATGAATCAATAGAAAACGTATACTTTACAATGTTATCCTCAACGTTTCAATTATATAAGTAGCCCTTTAGTTACATTAAATTGAAAATTTGTCGAACAGCTAAAAAGTTTTAAATTACTGGGTATTTATATAGATTTACAGTTAACATGGAAAGATCATGTAGATTATGTATGCAAAAAATTACTTGGCCCTTAAAAGATTACACGAAATTGCTAGCAAGGACACAGCGAAAATTTTTTATCATTCCAACTTTGAATCTGTGATTGGATAAGGAATAATTTGTTGGGGAAATTCGTCAGCAGCCAATTGAATATTTATATTACAAAAGAGAGCAACACGTTGTTTATTCGGTTTAGAATTTAGAGAATCATGTAAACCAACGTTCATCAGCGAAAAAAATATTACCACTTTCATGTATTTATATTCTAGACATGTTAAA